CCCGCCCCCTCCCCCCACCCCCCACCCTTATGTGCATTGAGAATAGCTTAGAACTTCATTGTATCTGCATAATGGACATTCCAACAATTATATGAAATGAAATGAAATGGGTTGTGCAAAAAGAAGCAAATATGTAAGTTTGTTTAATATGCATAAACTACACTGTTTGCATTGATGTTAAAAGGAGAGAAAATGTTGTATCAAGAAAGCTGACTCCTGCAAAGCATGCCCAGATCCAGCTCTTTATTCACTTAAAAAAGAAAAAAAAAACTTATAATACAAGCCATTGCTTAGGATCAAGCTATCAGTAGAGATGGATATGGCCTGCTTGGTTAGGCTTTGAACAGTGTTCTCTCCCAAAGTCAGATATATTTAAAAAAATAGTTATAAAAAAGAAAAATATCAAGAATCCGGTCCACAATAAAACACTAACTACAGTTAGATAGTATATGGCAGTTTCATCCAACCTGGTGCCTCCAAATACTGTCTGGGAACATCTATGGTGGGCATCAGGTTGGAGAAAGTAGATATATGGCAACAACAGAATGTTCGTTGGCTACTGAACTTGCAGTATCTGCTGTGGATGGGCTGAATACTCATTTCCAGATTATATTGTTTTGCAATCTTCTTAACTTGCAAAAAATACCAAGCTGATTAAGGTTTCTTAGCAATAAAAGCATTCAAATTTCTAGTCCTACCATGTGGATACAAACATTCTTAAGTATTATCAGCATTCAGGTAGTCAGTTTGGAAAAAACTGAGTCACTGTTGAGCTGAAAAATATTTTGAGGTTAAAAGAAAAGATCTTTCCATTACTTCAAGTCATCTTCTCTGCCTCTAAGAGATTGGCAAAGCTGAGAACAGGTCCAGGCCCCACTCCCACTGTGCGGCTTCATTTAGAGCAGCACAGTTGGCTTTAGTGGTTTCAAGGAGGTTTCGTAAAGGAAAAATGGATGGCAGCTTGTGGCTTCTGAGCCTTATTTTACCATGACTTGATCACCCTTTCCCACTAGCATCCTGAAGGCTTATCTGCTGTGGGTAGCCCAGAGTTCCTGAATATATAAGCAAAGCTGACCCAGACAAGGGAGTCAAACACTTCAGGAAAAACAAGGACTGTGGGAGTATTAGAAGTTCTTATCTCATGACATAAGCCCAACAACTACCCCAGTGTGACTCCCTCCCTTCTCCTCTCAACTTCTCTTATATCACACTTCAGTCAGTGCTAATTCATAAAGACTACAGCTAAATTTAAGGCACTTCATTCTCAAGGAGATATGATTCCATGCTATGGTGTAGGCTTATTGCTTGCTCAACTGGTTAGATTATACAACCTCTGTATAAAATATTTAGGCAAGATAATAATACAGGTGCCACTACTGTGATTGCATAGGCCTATGCCAGAGTAGATAATGCACAGAACATGCTCTTACAACAACACTGTTGCATGGTTAAATCTAACATTGTTGGGCTCAAGACATAGTCACCTGAAGATATAGTAATGTTTTCCAACACGGTTGCTGAAAAATGTAACAGGGTATGAAAGAATATAGCAACCATATTTTCAACAATATTACTATCACTATAAAAAGAGCATGTTGGGATTTCCTCCATGCCCGGATTTTTTGTTTTATATTGAGCTTTGTTTTGTTAACTAGATTAAATCTGCATTACTATTTAAACATCTGTCTGTGTCAAAACATTCCTTTCAAACAAGACTGTAATATACAAAATAGTCACAGAACCACTCATGAAAAGACAGGTACCTGCACCAAAGCTTATACTGAAGTTTGCACAAAAAATGTAAAACAATCCATTCAGTGGGGTTTGCGTATGTGCCTTCCAGTCAGTTTTTCATTCCTGGAGACCTTCTGGATAAGTCCCTGCAGTTTTCTTGGCAAGATTTCGGAAGTGGTTTGCCCTTGCCTTCTTCCTAGGGCTGAACGGAAGTGACTGGCCCAAGGTCACCCATCTGGCTTTGTGCCTAAGGCGGGAGTAGAACTCCCGGTCTCTCAGTTTCTAGTCTGGTGCCTTAACCACTACATCAAACTGGCTCTCTTTCAATGGGGTTTAAGCTGTCAAAAACTTGATAGCTTAACTAGAGGCATTTTCTTATAAATATATTTTTTTTAATTATTCTGAATGAAAAGTTAAATCAAATAATTGAAAAATTAATCTAAATCAACTATTTGTACCATGCATTTTTTTAAAAAGGGGAAATAAAGTTTTTATGCCCCATTGTCAGAAAAATACTAAGTTTGTATTATGAATCTGAAGTCTTAAGTCTTGTATTTTTAAAACATAAATTCCTTGCCATTATTACAAGTAATTTTTTTTGAAAAGGTGAGACATAGTTTTGAAGAATGCTCACTCAATGTATAATACTTATAATAATACAAACTTAAATGTCATTGAATTTTTAGAGGTCTCTCCTTTCCATTAAATCTAGCTTGAACTGTATTTAAAATCAGTTTCTGTACAGGTAACCTGTTGATACACATATTTTATCTATCACCATGGGAAAGATTATATGAATTAATAGATACTGTATATTTTTAAAAGGAGGCACTATTAAGTCAACAGAAAAATAGTTTTTACAAAGCTAATTTTCTTTTTGGTTTCTATACATTCTTCTTCATTTCACTTCCAGGTCACTTTACTTATAGTTATACTGAAGTTTCATCTTTAGTGGATCATGGACTTGCTGATCTGTAGATTTCTATTGCTTTTGAGAAGAGATGAAATCATTTGGAGTTCCTTGATGAATCTAGTTCACAGATACAGTACTATACTTTGGAAGCACTGGTAGTTATAAAACAATATACAAGTCTCTTCAAACATTAAAAAAGTCACATACACCAAGCTATCTGTAGACTTATATTAAAATATTAGGAAAAAGAGAACAAATTACTTTAATCTACTGATCAAGAAATGAAGAAGTTTGTGAGAGGCCTGTCTAATGATATCCACTAACAAGCATGGTCAGTATCCTCCATGCTCACGCTGCTCCGTCGGCTGCTTGTTTTTGAAGCCCCAGGAGATACTGATGATAGGAGTGGATCAGTAACTCCAGCAGGAGACAGAGTATCATCCATCAACATATCTTCCAGTTTAGATCCCATTTTGGTAGGGACAGCATAAGTGCTTGGAGCCGATTCTGTCACATTTGCCAGGCTGCCATTGAAAGTGATGGTGCCATCAGTAAGGTCAAGAGTGGTTGTGGAAGAAAGCTCAGGGTGATGTTGCTGCAAGATTTCCTGGCTGCAGTTGTCAAGGATGGGCTCTTGTTTGATAAGCCGGTTTACCATTTCTGGAGAGCAAAGGCCAGTAGATGGGATGATGGAAAGCCCATGTGCTCGGGCCTGCATCTCGAGCTCCTGTTATGAAGATCCATGAAAAACAAGAAATGCTTTTAAAAGAATGGCAACTTTAGAAATGAACATTTTTCTTAAAAGCAGGCAAGCCCTCTATTCCAAACCCTCTCACAACTAATTAAATTGTTCATCCAATATATGTTTGTTTCTAGACACGAGCTATGAAGAAAGGGCAGTAGCCAAAATGGAAACTACAGGACAGCACACAGGGAAAAGAAGATAATTATTTCCTCTCCACCATAATGCCAACATCAAGAAATTGCTATATACTCCAAAAGGGAAGCAGCTTTGGGTATCTGTTTCAGAATAAGCAGAAGGTTGGTAAGCTTTCCATGCAGTTTCCCCTCTTCACTTGGTCTTGAAGTGGGCCAGCATGTTCATTATGCTCTCTACTGTATAAGCCTGCTTCCTGGGTGGTTAAAAATTGCTCTTATCACTGCCCCTAGCAAGTGGGGAAAAGGAAAGATGTCCTAAAGCCATCATTTATCTTGAGGGAAAATGCCTGATGTACATTTTCAGTGGCCTGGAAGGGAAGGCCCAGTAGTAAAGATACCTTATTGTTAGCACTATATACATGAAACCACTCTGTGAAGACTTTTTTTCATGATCAGGGCTTTTTTTTTTTTTTTTAAATAGTGCTTATTCAGATTTTCTAAGAATGGATAGAAAAGAGAAAGGGGAACACTCAAACTGGAATAACTAAAGTGCTAATAGCAAGATATATTTGCCCCCTTGTGGTAGAGAAAAACGTTTTTGATAATCAAATTACTTCCCAGTTATTATAGTTAACAAAGTAACCTCCTTTTATCATAAAAGATTTTATTTCTTTTCCCTAATAAATACATTACATCCATATTGCAACTTTGAGACAAAATATTTGGCTGCTAAATTTTCCAACAACCTTCTTAAAGAAATCTAGCGTTTTACATCAGACGCAAGCCTTAGAATTTGATTGAGGGGGAAGGTGGGTAGGAATTCTATTCCTTTTAGGGCACTGAACATCAACATGTTATCTAACCTTTAGGCAAAGTGCCACTAAAACAACCAAGCCTACTAGGATTTTGTCTCAAGTTTCCTAAGTAACATTTAAAGTGACTGTTGCCACAAGTATGACTAATAGGCAGTCTAGAACATGAAGAACATATCTGTAGCCATGAGGAAATAGGGTCTTGCTCTTGGCCTGACCCTGCTGTCATGTGCATGGCCAAGTATCAATTATGCACCTTGAATCGTTGCAAGATGAAGAGCATGCCAGAGTAATTTTATGTGCTTAGGCACAGAGGTACCTGATAACTATAGTTCTATGGGTCAGATGAAATTGGAATCTGCGATAAAATGAAAACTCTCATGTTTCATTTATAGTCACACAAAAGGGAGGTCAGAATGTTCAGCTCTATGTATGTTTGTGTTCACAAAAGTTTATAATCTGACTTATGAACTTTTGCACAGTTATGAATAGATAGAATTACCCCAAAAAAGCTTTTATGTGCTTATGGTCATTGCTTCCAGACTGATTAATATTCTAGAGCCATTCCGGAAACAAACCATGATTACATTATATAGTAGCAATTATAGTATTACTTTTCATTTAGGATTTTTATGTTCTGTCCTTGCTTCAAAAGAGGTATTAGTTACCTTGGATAGAAAAGGGTGATATAAATCAAATTAATAAATAACCACACAGCTTGCTGCCTTTATATATTAATTAGCAAACCTGTATTCTGAGCAAAAGGTGTCTGTTAGCATGTTCCAGTTTCTTTTGTCTGTTCTCTAGCTCTTTCGTACGTTGCTGTTCTCTTTGCAATTTGCGAATGTAGTCCACAGAGGCTTTTAAAATAGTTCCCTTGTTCCAACGCATGTCTCTGTAAGAATAATCCAGATCATTATGTCTATAAAGAAACGCTGCTCTCAGCAGGTAGAGGCACCTGGCTGGCTCAGAAGCTGAGCCAGGTCAGCTAGGGTGGGAAGTCAGAAAGCTATCAGGCTCCTGGTAGCAGCATCAACTAGAAGGGATTCATACTCCAAACAAATCTCACTGAGTTCAGTTAGATTTATTAAGCAAGAGGTTCAAGGAAGAACACAATAATTCCAGCAAGTACCTACTTTCAAAGGAGGAACCTATATATAGGTGAATTAGGGCAGGATGCCTCTTACTCTTTTTATTGCACTCTTTCTATGTAAAGAGGAGGAGGCTGCACCTGTTGATTGTTTTGGTGATGGCTGACCTCTTAACCCTCTGAGAACCATTTCTCACGAAAAAATCCCGGAAGAGGGCAATGGCAAGCCATTCCCATATTGTGGCCAAGAAAACCACATGGCTGCCAAAAGTTGAATATGACTTGAGGGCTCTTTACTTTAAGGAAGGACCATGGTGATGAGGAAGTGCACAACCCATAAAATTGCCATGCAAAAACCACATTCTCCAAACATACGATTGAATAAGCCAGAAAACAACAATAGTTACAACAAAAATAAATATTAAATTTAGCACAGGAGGGAAGTGGCTGGTTCCTTCAGTAGCTGGTAGAATACGGTTGTGGTTACACACAGAATGCATCACTCTGCCTTGATGCAGAGATGTACTCATGGTGCAGAAGCCACTTTGGCTAAGGGAAATGCTGCAGCTGCTTTGCCAACTACAAAGAGGGTCCAACGAGTACTTCACTTTTCCTGGAAGTGAAGCACGCCTCCAAAGAATTGCACAGTCCTAATAACTACTTCATCATCATCACCACCACCACCATCATCCTAGGGAAGGACTCAACAGGTGGATAAAAATGCCAAATCCAGTCTAAACATCTGGCTGACTGTGCGACCAACCATAATATGCTAATTCTAGGGGGGTTCCAAAGTGTTAAAAACATTTAAAAACAAGGGGGAAAAGAAAGAAAGAT